GTCGACTTTTTCCTTTTTTTGCGCCTAACATGTTATACAGAGTCGAAATTGTGACAGCGGAAGAATTACCTACTTCTTCAGTTCAGTGCCCAGCTTAAAGGGGCTGTCAAGCGTATTCGGCAGTTCATCTCCCGGCACAGTTCCCCACTAAGATTACAAGCTCCGGTATCATCCTACCAGAGAGAGACAAGCAATGGAGGTGAAATGCAGCTAGTAGCTTGAGTTCGCCCAGCTAGGAAGAAATAAGGACGATCATCGCGTCAGATCTCTCTCTCTGGTTCGTATGTTGTAAGGCTAAATACTCGGAGTCTGCTCCACTGCACAACTTGTCCGAGTACATAAATGAAGACTGTGGAACTATTGAGGGCTTGTCTTGGGCAAGAATTGAAGTGCTCTAATATTATGGTTGCCTTGGCATTCTACGATTGGAGAAGCAATAGCTATTCTATAGTTGTATGGAGAACAGGGACCACAAAATGATTCAGTTGGTCCGTGGTAGGCACTCAGTTCACGACGCGCATTAGTTTATTTTTAACTATCTCCATATTTATGTTCTTCTCGCACGGTAGGTTAATGGTTCCTGCATCTCTGAAGAGATTTTACAGCACATCGCAGATACAAAGGCCATGGAAAGGATGCCATGCTACTATATCCTAATACTTGTACTTGTAGTATCTCACCCTAGGTTGAGAATAATGATGTTGCCATAACATCCTCGTTTTCTTCTCTCAAACTGCAGTTGTACTAGTATGCCCTAGAAGTTCTAGTCTCACAAACGGAGACGCCACCCAACCTTGGCCCACAGTCTCAGGCAAGAGATTTACTCCAGAGATCTTTATTTGAAAGGTTATTTCGATAATAAATAGAAGAGATGCCTCAAACCCCCTTTCATAGCGAGAAATCCACTCTTCACTGGTGACCTCGGGTTGCCGTCCCTTCATTCTGACTTCTATACATTCATTTATGATTGCGAATTGAATATATACCCCCAATGGCTGAAGAAAGCCCTAGAAAATCCATCGTGGAAGATGTATTCATTCCCAAAGAACTACTCGCGACTGCCAAATTCAACTCGCCATGGGAATTGGCTCGATGGGAACATTCTCTCCCCGAAAACAGTCGTATATCACTTCCGGAGCCTCGTACCTCTTCCAAACGTCCTCTGAGTCTTTCTGCTCTGCGAGCAGTGGCAATACCAAAGCCTGCAACTCGGTATCGTGGATGCAGTGATCCTCCTGCTTTTCAAGGTATGAAATTGATATCCTATATCTTGTAGAAATACATGAGAGATGATGACAATCTTATACCAATACTAATCCTTTCTTATTCTTCAGGTACATTCGACTACTATGCAAAGCCTGCCATATTCGAGCCTCCCTCTCCAATCCCCGAGAAAGAACCAATAACACCACTTCAGAATGCACTCCTTAGTCCCCAACCACTCAGCCAAGCCAGCTCTCAGACAATCAGCAGCGAACAGAGCAGCCTGCAAGAAGTATATGAAAAAGCCAAATTGAGAGGCGTTGCTATCCAACGAAAGCATTGGGTGCGGCTATTGTTTCAATACAGCATCTATGCATTACTCGCTCTGTTCGTCTACTTCGTCCTCGTCGGTATGCCACTGTGGAAAGGCGCTGTCTGGTGGCTGTATTATTTTGTCCGAACCAAATTTGTTATCCAAGGAGGATACGCAATTATCATTGGTCTGGCTGCACTGTAAGTGTCTTCTCGAGACTCAAAGTTTCTAACCCTAACCAAACTAGATACGCATTCTGTCCTCTGATGATCCTCTTCGAGAAAGATCCTCCAGCCCTAGACTCCGAATCCGAATCTCCAGACCTGGAAAGTAACATCTCCAAGGTAAAAACAACCGCTCTCCTCATTCCTTGCTATAAATCAGCAACAATCATCGGCGCAACACTCCAAGCCGCCCTGAAAATCTTCCCCAAAGAAAACATCTTCGTCATAGCAAACGGCAACGACAAAAACCCCCTCGATAACACAGAAGAAGTCTGCAAATCCTACGGCGTAAACCACCTCTGGGTACCCATCGGCTCGAAGATCGTGGCGCAGTTCGTCGGCAGCTACGCAGCCAAAGACTTTGAAAATGCCGTCCTAATCGACGACGACTGTCTCCTCCCCCCAAACTTCCCAGTCGCCAGTGACAGACTCAAAGGAAACGTCCGATGCATTGGATACACAATTAAAAGTGTCGGCCCTAATTCTTCAAAGGGAACGTTCTGTCAACAAGCCCAGGACCTCGAGTACAAAATGTCCGGTCTCCAACGTGCTTTCTTCGGGAAATTCGGAAGTGCTACATTCCCACATGGAGCCATCTCACTCTGGAATATCGAGTTCTTAAAACAGACCTTTCATGAACATCCCGGCTTCTCCGTGTCGGAGGATTGGTTCTTCGGTGATGCGTGCCGGCGTCTGGGTGGACGTATTACGATGTGCTCGCAGGTTTTCGTCGAAACAGAGACGCCGGCTTCGGTGTTCTGGAGTGGTTCTGGTGGTAGTCGTGGTGGATTCGGCGAGATGACTATCTTCCAACAGCGGTTTAAGCGGTGGAATTTCTTCTTCGTTGTTGGCGTGTACTACGATTTGAAATATATCTTGACTAGCTGGAATCTGGGCTGGTGGGAGTTCGGTGCGAAGTTGTGCGTTTTCCAAGAGGTATGACAGGCACATCCATTCATCTAGGATATAAGCTAACCCTAACAGGTCTATGAAACCCTCATCTACCTCTTTGCCCCCTTCATCCTCCCAATCTCATTTATAGTCCGCCCCTCATTCTGCGGAATGCTACTGGGTATTACGGTCGCGATGTACATCCTCAACGTCATAATCTTCAACGAGATTCACCTCCGACTAAAGAAAGAGCGCATTGACTGGAACGTCTTGTTGTTCTACTATACGTTCTACAAGATCGCGTTGACGGTGGTCAACGTGTTCAGCTGCTACTGGTCACTGTACAAGTACGCGCGGTACTTTGCGCAGCGGCATCCGAAGGTCATTGAGGACCGGGATGCGGTTGAGGTGTTACTTAGTCTTGAGAAGGATTCGTGTTCGAGGACATCGGTCGAGGATGATGTTATTCCAGTTGATGGTGTGCTGGGGAGGGGCGTTGGGAGGAAGTTGACGATTACGAAGGTTCAGGCCGGGAAGAAGAGGATGACGGTGGGATCTGAGAAGGGTGGATGGATTTGAATATAAAGCGAGTATATTATAGACTGTACATTTACAGAGTAGTGCATATGCACCTGATGCGAACGATTGTGACTCTTCATTTTATACTAGTAATCCTCATTTGATATTGAGTCAGCACTGTCTCACATCTTAACTGTCCAACCCAGGAGAAATGTCAATGTCCAGGTCTTCTATACAAGTCTTTTGTGGTATTATATAGTTCAATCTAGCTACCATTGCTTACTTGACAGGGGTCTGAGTCCTGGAATCGATAGTATCGCCACCGTGGACTGCATCACCAAAACGGGCACTTGCATCAGATGCCTCGCTTTTCTTGAAGCTAGGAAGAAACACACCCTACCATATCAGCGGTGAATGTTTCACTCGTTTGCTTCCACAAATAGCAAAATACAACTTGCAGATGATAGATCATGTGTAAAAGCCCGACTTCCCACGCCTCGACGTGCCACGAGTCCGGAAGGAGACCCCCTCGTTTGTCTCCTGCAATTGGAGTTGTATGCATTAGCCCGAAGCAAGGAGAAGAAATTTAGATTGCTCTAGAGCCAGGAAATGTTCAAGGGATTTGAAGCGATTGCTAAGGGATACGCCACGTTCCGTACTTGAGCAGAAGAAGGGGTTTATTATATTGTCAACGCTGTCGATTCTACACGTCATGTGGAAGGCTAGACTACCTGTATCTTATTAAGTTCCAGCCCGAAATAGCAGTCTAGATCACTTGCATGCAAGTGCTATTGTACTTCGGAATAATAGCCGATCATCTGAGATATGTTGTACATACAACATATTTGTACATTGTTACCTTTCAACTAAATCTAACAAAAGCAAATCATTGGCTCCTGGTAATCTCCGAATTACCGTCTGGACTATGAAGGTAATTTAATTTGGCTGAGTTTGGTATAGATCACTCTGATTTAGAATTATATGAGCTGTCAGGTACGCAGTAGTGTAACGGTCTTTGAAGAACCGGTTTGGTTCTTTTGGCTGTTTAGTACTAAGTTAGTGTCAGGTTAGTGTTGACTTTCTTTGTCCTAGTGGACACCCCTGCCATGAACTGTTGTTCTCATTGGACATTGAATATTCGATACATCACTTCCCCCCAAGGGATGTCGTTCTCGTATTGTCTGTTTCCCGACCGTTAACTCCGCGACAATCCGGTAGTACCAAATATTGAGGAAATAGAGACAGGGAACAGGGAAAAGGCACAAAGACCTCGCCGTTTCCAATTTTCAAGTTGAAAATTGCCCCAGTCCCGATCTAGGATAGGTGTGTTTCAGACAGAAAATCAGCGATCTAAGTGGAGCCGAGATTGATCTCCTTACTGGGCCACGTCAAAGCGCGTAGTGACTTGGAGCGCGTAGTGACTTGGCTTCGGTGACCTTGGTGACTTGGATGGGGTTGAGGTTGAATGGGCTCATATGGCTTGAAGGAATATCGATCGATCCCGAGTTCGTTTGACAGGTTCGTAGGAAGTAATAGAATGGTTCGTGATAGATCAGATAGAGGGGCATGTGAGATCTGGGAATAGAAGTATCACAATCACAATCACAGGCAGAGGGCGCTAATGTACAGCATCCTGTCACAGATCAAAGAGTTTAAAGATATTCGGTATTCTTGTGTATATATACAGAGGGATGTCTCCTTTTACTTTCTACTTTCTATCTTGATTGTTCTATTGAATTGTTGCACACGGACTCTATAGGAGTATACTATATCCTTGGTATACTTATACCTGGACTGTCCTCGTCCTTTTTATTACCTCAATCCTGTCGATTTCTCTATACTCCTATACAATGTCGGAGGACTTTGAGTCGCTGCCTCCAGCAGTACGAAGAAAGGTAAGGGTTCATTGTTGTCCTCCCTCACACAGCACTCCTTCGCGTCTCACCGTCACACGCTCGGACTTCTCATTTCCCTCCCCAATAGCTCCCCTCCACAGGAGATCGGCTTGACCCAATCAGGGCCGCTTTCTCCATGTTTCCCTTTCCTTTGTCTGTCCTTGCTCTGTGATTGATTGTGATTGACTGTGATTTACCCCTGAATCACCCTCAGTGGAGGCTGGCAATCCACACTATCGTCCATGGCGCCACTCGTTGTCTCGTAACATTGGCCACCATGGACTAAAATTGGCCAATGTTGGCCAATGCCAGCCAATGTCACCGCATGGGATATTGTTGGCTCCGCCCCATCCCCCGTATTGCCTATCCATTGTTGTCCAGTGTCCACAGCTAACTCGAACAGTTCTTCTCGAACGTCGAGCGTTTACGTATTCGGCTAGCCCAGAGCGATCACGGTTCCCCTGCCTACTCCACATCAAACTATCAGACGGATAATCGGGTCTATCGAGCCCCTCGTCTTGGGTCGGACCATCACTCGCGTGGTTTGCGGAACGGATCTAGGAAGCGAGGGCTCGAGAAGCGTCCTTCTTCTTCCAAGAAATTACACAAACCCGGATCTCTTCAATTGGCGTATTTGGCCGCCCAGGCGGACTCTCAATGCTTTCATGCCCTGCCCGCCAAGATCCAACAAAAGCTTTTCTCCCCCGAAGAACGTAGACGTTTGAGGAACGCTTATCGGCAAAGTCTCATCTACGACGCCGCCGACGAAGCTTACCGCCGAGATTCTGGTCGAGATTCTAGACAATCTCGCTCTTCCACCGACACTCACTCCTCCCAGGCAACTGTGCCTGTTGTTCAGTCATCGACCGCCTTTTATTCAGACTCCGAGTCGGATGACGAAGACCCAAACATGGATCAAACATTCCATGATAGTTTCCGCTGGCTCGACGAGGATGGCGATCTTGATTTATCTCTCGATGAATACCATGCTCATGTGGCAGATGCTGCCACGAGAAAGAGAATCCGTCCCTCCTTCCGCCGCTCCTTATCCTTTTCAAACCATCTTCGCAAAACATTAGAAATCACAACCATTTCGGCTCGGGGACTCCCGCCTGTCAGCCAGTCCCAGCCGTTAACCCCCCTCTCCGACCGAACCCCCGAATCGCCCTCGTCATCCAGCTCGAGCATCGACCCCTGTGCCCAATACTATCAAGACCCCGATGCCCGCTTGAAATTGCGCGTATACCTGGCATCGCCACAAAAGTTTGACGAAGCCATTGAATTCGGATTCCCCTCTCTGGATCAAAATAATAAGGAGAATGTCTCCCCGGAACCAATCACACCGAAATCTATCTCCCCGAGACCCACCCTAGTCAACTCGGATTTTGGCACATTCTTCGAAGACGACGATGGCACCATGGTGGGGAGCCCAGGATCGGTAGAAAAAGAACCAATCCCTTCGCCCGTGCTCACACAGTGGGACGCGCCCCGACCCTCCGAATCATCAGTTCTCTTGCAGCGACGCCAGTCGTCCTGGCTGCCCGGGACCAAGGCAGTCCCACAACGGCTTCCGGGAAACCGTGAGATGACTCTCAAAATGACCCTCACTCGGCCAGACCTTCGCACCTACTCTCCCAGCCCCCCGACTTCTTCCACAGGAAAAGAAGACCCCTTGCGATTGGCTGAACTTCCGCCAGCGGATCGCAGCCAGTCCATATGGGACTCGGACCTTGACGAGCAAGGTATGGTGAAGAGGATGTGGCGCAAGCTCCGACGCCGAGTTTGACTTGGCTAAATGTCCGATCGATTTCGATTGCCTTCCACTCGTTTTATTTTTAATATTCCTTGGTTGTTCTCAACACTAAGATGTTGTTTCTTTTCTTCGTTTGGCGTGAACTCATTTTCGTTCTATACCATTCTGGACTTTTTTTTTTCAAGGATATCTGATTCTCGCGTCTTGAGCGAAGTTTTCTTTCTCCACGGTGTCCTCGACATTTTCATGTATCTATTTAGCAGTGTTCTGTACATATAACCAAGCTGCTTCATGTCAATTGATTCAACATACCATCTTTTCCACGTTCACCACCTTCAGGGGTTTTGTAGACCAACAGACTAGTCCCAATTGTATGCTCTCATCCACGGTTGGCTGCCACTAGACTTGTTTATGGGCCACGGTTCAGTCGATAGGGCCGATAAGCACTTCACGTGACAGCAAGCTTCATCCTAAGGCCGCAGAGGCCACGCAGCTCCGTCATCATCACTATCTTAACTCTTGACTTTTCTACTTGCCTGTGGATTTCTTGCTGGGCTCTAACAACACTCTCTTTTCCAGCGACTTCACATTCCCTCCCTTAATCGATTGACCCCGTATTCCCGGTCCGGTCCGCTCAAGCTCCCACCGCACACCCCATCAGATGCCTAGGCAGCACCGGTCATGATCCCACGGTGGCTGCTGCTCATACTGAGCCTGCTGCTGGTATGGACGTCACAGCCAGCAGCGGCAAAGGGAAATGAACCGAACGTTGTGACCCATGAACTCAATGCTCCGCCCGCCGACCTTTTCTACTTCCACGGCACAAACACCATCCTCTACCGTGACAAGAATACCCTCACCGCGCATGTCTCCTTCGATGGCGGAGAGAAATGGGAGATCGTTAAAGGCAAGGATGGAACCATAGAGGGCGCCGTCGAGTTGATTTGGAGACATCCGTTCGACGTCAACCGCGCGTACATCCTTGGCGAGAGTGGCAAGCACTGGATCACGACCGACCAGGCCAAGTCGTGGAAACCCTTCCAGGTGGACGTACTGCCATTCGCGTCGATGCGCTCATTCCCATTGGAGTTCAATGGCTGGGACCCGAAAAAAGTTATATTCATGGGTCTGGACTGCACTATCCTTGGCTGCATGCCCCAGGCGTTTTATACCGTCGACGACTTCGAAAATGTCCAACCGTTGCGCGAGATGACGCTCCAGTGTATGTGGGCCGCGAGCCGCCCGCAGTTCGCGTTGGACCTAGACATGCCGAAATCGATAGGAGACCGGATTCTCTGCGTGGTCCCTGGGTTGAAGGGGCCTTTTGAGCATACCCGTACAGAACGCTTGATATATTCCGATAAATTTTTCAAAGACGATGCGGATGGCACCGAGTCCAAATTGGACCATGGTAAACCGATGAGCGGTATCAGTCTTCAAATCCGCTCCGTGTCTAAGTATATCGTGGCGCGCCTTCAATCACGCGGCACCCAGGAGCAGGCTTTATACGTCAGTGACGACTCGAATGTGTGGCACCGCGCGGAATTTGGCAAGCGCCGCATTGAAGAGGATGCCTATACTATCTTGGAAAGCACCAACTACAGCATCCAGATCGACGTGCAAACTACCTGGCATGATAACCGGATGGGAAGTCTTTTCACGTCCAACTCCAATGGCACCTATTTTACGAAAAATATCGAGCACACGAACGAGGACCTGAATGGCTTGGTCGATTTTGAGAAAGTCACGGGTATCCAGGGTATCACGATCGTCAACACGGTCAAGAACTGGGAAGAAGCTGAGAAGTCTGATGCAATTAAAAAGAAGCTTATCAGCAGTATTAGTTTTGACGATGGAAGGACATTCCAGCCTCTCAAGGCTGATAAAGACGAGCTACACCTCCATTCGATGACCACTTACGCCGCGCTACACGAGATGCCCTTCCCAGATCACCGGATGTTCTCAAGCCCGGCTCCGGGCTTGACCATGGGCGTTGGTAACACTGGGGGTCATCTTGAAGACTACTCGGATGGTGATCTCTACGTTTCAGACAACGCGGGTCTTACCTGGCGTCGCGCACTCAAGGGCCCGCACCGGTACGAGTTTGGCGACCAGGGAGGTGTGATTGCGGCTGTCTTGGATGGCAGCAAGACGGATAAGGTCCAGTTTTCTATCGACCACGGGAAAGAGTGGGAGTCGATTGATCTGAAGCAGAAGATCAGGCCTCTGTTCCTGATTTCAACGCCGGATTCGACCAGCCTCAAGTTCCTGCTCGTTGGCATCTCCGATGATGACACCAAGGTCCTCATGTTCTTCATAGACTTCGATGGCCTCCACGAGCGCCAGTGTGGCACCGATGACCTCGAAGAGTGGACTGCCCGTTTAGATGAAAAGGGCGAGCCGGATTGTCTGATGGGTCAAAAGCAGTTCTTCTATCGCCGCAAGGCAAACGCGGATTGCTTCATCAAGAAGGAGTTTGCCATTAGCGGCCCTGAATTCAAACCCTGCAAGTGTTCCGCTGAAGACTTTGAATGCGACTACAACTTTGTTCGCAGCGAGGACCGCAAGGAGTGTCTACCAGCTGTCCCGCTGACACCCCCGGCTGGCAAGTGCACTGAGCCCAGCGATAAGTACATGGGGCCCTCTGGATGGCGACTCATTCCCGGCAACGCATGTATCCGCGAAGGTGGCGAGAATCTCGACCGTCAGATTGAGCGCTCCTGCTCGAATGTCACAGGGCCTGCTCCCATTACCGATGGCAAACCTCGCGCAGAAAAGCCACAGATCATCTCTGCCAAGGATACAAACTACTTCTATCTCGAACGGCAGGCCAGTAACAACGGCGTTGATGAGACTATCATGATGCTCACAGACAAATACGAGCTGCATATCTCGCGTGACCATGGCCGGAACTGGAAGCAGGTCCACGCGGATGAGAAGTTTACGGAAATGGTCCCGCACCCTTACTTCAGTGATGCAGCTTTCTTCCTCACCAACAGCAAGAAGGTGTACTACACTATCAATCACGGTGATTCTTTCCACTTCTTCGAAGCTCCTAGTGTGCCGACCAAGGAGAACATCCGCGCACTCGCTTTCCATGAGAAGTTCCAGGACTCCCTTATCTGGATTGGTCACAAGGACTGTGAGGGGAAGAACTGTCGCTCACAGGCGTACGTCACCGACAAGCGAGGCGCTAGTTGGGACCCGATGCTTATTGGAGTCGCCGACGGCGGTTGCAACTTTGGATATCACGAGGGCCGCAACAACAGTGAAAAACTGGTGATTTGCGAGCAGTATAAAGATGAGGAAAAGAACAATAACCGACAGCTGGTTATCAGTGATGACTATTTCTCTACCATGGACGTCAAGTTTGAGAACATCGCCCGTTCTGCTACCAAGAACGGGTTCGTCGTCGTCGCCTGGTACGAAGGAGACCAGAAGGAATACCTGAATGCCAGCGTCAGCGTCGACGGCCGCACTTACGCGAACGTGCACTTCCCTTTCAACATTAAGGTTCCTCAGTATACCGTCCTGCCTAGCTCTCCGCACGCATTGTTCCTTCTTGTGATGGTTAACGGGGGCGATGAACGCAGCTTCGGCTCTCTGGTCAAGAGTAACAGTAACGGCACCTACTTTGTCCAGAGTCTCGAGGGGCTCAACGTTAATGACCGCGGCTACACGGACTATGATGAGTTGCAAGGCCTCGAGGGCGTGGCCATTGCCAATGTGGTTTCAAATCGGGAAGAAGTGCTGAGCAAGGGTGCCGCCAAGAAGCTACGCACTATGATTACCCACAACGACGGTGGTCAGTGGATGCTTCTGGCTCCCCCGAGTCAAGATGTCGATGGCAAGAAATTCAGCTGCTCCGTTACGGAGGGCAAGGGCACCGAGAAATGCGCTCTCCATTTCCACGGCTACACGGAACGCCGCGATTACCGCGACACCCTCTACTCGGGCTCCGCCATCGGCCTGATGCTCGCGCTCGGAAATGTCGGTGAACATCTCACTAGCGCAGCTGAAGCCGACACATACCTCACCAGGGACGGCGGCATCTCCTGGACGCAAGTCAAGAAGGGACAGTATATGTGGGAATTCGGCGCAGCAGGCTCGGTAATCGTGCTCGTCAGCGACCGGAAGGCCACCAAGGTCGTACACTACACGCTCGACGAGGGCGCGAGCTGGCACGAGTTCCAGTTTGCCGAAAAGGAACTGGTCATTGACGATATATCCACCGTGCCATCAGACACATCGAAAAACTTCCTGCTCTGGGGCATGGACGAGGGCAAGCGTGTCACCATCACGCTTGACTTCAGCGGTATCTGGAGCCGCGACTGTAACGACGATGAGAAAGATTACTATAACTGGGCCCCCAGTCATCCCTTCCAGGAAGAGAATTGTCTCTTTGGCCATGTCGAGGAGTACCACCGCAAGAGACCTACTGCTGAGTGCTGGAATTCCTGGCGTGAGCCACATCTCCACAGCATCGGCCGGAACTGCACTTGCACCCGGGCTGATTTCGAATGGTAAGCAAAAACACACAGTTACCCCCCTCATCCAATCTAAATACGAACTAACATGAAACAGTGACTACAACTACGAAATCCAATCCGACGGCAGCTGCGGCCTCGTCCCAGGTCTCCAACCCCAAAACCACATCGCACAATGCGCCCAAGATCCCGAAAAGGTTGAATACTGGGAACCCACCGGCTACCGTCGGATTCCGCAGACAACCTGCGAAGGCGGCCTCCTACTAGACCAGGACGTGTCAAAACCGTGCCCAACCAAAGAAAAAGAGTACCAAAAGAAGCATGGCATCAGCGGAACAGGTCTATTCTTCGCGATCGTGACACCCATCGTCGCCGCCGTCGCCGTAGGCTGGTACGTGTACACGCACTGGGACGGCAAATTCGGCCAGATCCGGCTGGGCGATACCGGCGTCGCGTCGCATAGCTGGTTATCCAGGGACTCGGTGCTGGTCGTGGTACCTGTGGCGATTATCGCGGGTATTGTTGCGGTTGCGCAGTCTCTGCCGTTACTTGTTAAGAGTCTGGCGCGGAGCGCGTCTGGTTTGTTTGGAAGGCGCGGGGCGCAGAGACCTTATGCTACGCGTGGGTCGTTTGCGGCGAGAAGGGGGGATTATTCTTCTGTTGTTGATGACGAGGATGAGCTGCTTGGGGCTGATGATTTTGACGATGAGGAGGAGCAGGCTTAGACTTTGGCTTGGGCTTAAATTTGGGCTTGGATTATGAGTTTGAGTACGGAATTTTGATATAGCTGCCTTTTTGTGGTTTCCGATTGGAAATGATCTTTTTGGGGTTTTGACTCTTGCGACATTATGAGCGTGCCATGAACCTTTTTGCTTTCTTTCTTCTTCTTCTTCTTCTTCTTCTTGTTGGTTTCGGTTTCGGTTTGTGTACGTTGTGGTTGTGGCCTTTGGCTTTTATATGCAGAAGGCTCTCTAAGCCCGTGGGCTGTATATCCCCCATTGAACAAACCAAAATTCAGATTTTTTACTATATCTCTTGAACAGAAACCGGTAAATGGATTTAATTTCAATGGATATTAGACTCCGATCAAACTCCTCGCCCTCTTTTCTGTATCTGATATCCATAAACACATCCTTATCTCTATTTAAGATGGTCGGGTCCGAAAGAATCGGGCAGCAACTGGGTTCATTAGCACATATAATGGAAGATGTATAAAAGAATATATCCAAAAAAAGAGAAAAGAAACTCACCTCCTCCATAGTCATAACTTTATAATTCCCCTCACCGTCGTACATGTATACTGGGAAAGATGGCGAAGTAAACTCGCGAATACTGTATCCCAATGAGCTAAGCGCAAAGGGGGAAAAAACAGAAGAAGAAGAGGAGGAGTAGGAAGAAGGAAACTCACAACTGCCTACACATCCCACAAGGTGAAGCAGCAGGCTTGATATCCGTTGCGACAGCCAGAGCCTTGAAATCCTTGTGGCCGGCAACCTGTGGGAGTTAGCGAAGATCCAGACTTGGGCGGGTTCGTATAACAACGACAGTGATAACAACCAAAGTACACCAGGGGAAGATAACATGGGACATACAACAGCAGTGCCAAAAGCCACGCGCTCAGCGCAGGTTCCGACTGGATAGGCGGCATTTTCGACGTTAGCGCCGGCGATGAACTCGCCCGATGTCGTGAGGATGCATGCTCCGACGCGGAACTTGGAGTATGGGCCTGGGAAGGTGTTAGTTCGGGGTTGTTTGTACTTAAAACTGGATGTCGGGTGCTTATGCTGCTTCAAAGGAAGGAGGGAAAGGGCCATACAATAGGCAGTTGCTTTGGCGTCGATGGCCTTGGTGGAGAGGGCTGTCAGTTCCTGGGTTGTGAGTGTTTGAGCCATTCTAGTTAATGTCAAATAGAGAGATGTTCAAGGAAGAGGGGAGATGAGGGGGATTTTATCCGCTGATAGGCGATAGGCGATTTTCCAAGGTTATGCAACGTTGAAGGAGGAGATATGGGGGTGATTGGTTGTTTTCAGATGGTTACAATGTACAAGATATGAGCATTTATTTATGATGTCAAGTGAGATGGGCTCGAATATTGCTCTGATATAGAACAGCTAGCCCTAAATGGTATATCGTATGTGCTACAGTAAGAAAGTTAGAGAATACCACACCGTATCAATACTTCAGATACTACTTGATGTAGCAGATTAGATACATCTCATGTCAGAATTAAACATACATTCAACAGATATTCCAATTATTCTACGGAGATAGAGTATCTTCAGATATGGGACGTTGAATGCCCCTGGACATATGGATAATGACTAAGCATTGTTTCCCTCCTCCCCCCCCCCCCCCCCGCTTATACGAACATACGATGCTCTGAGCTGTAAACAGCTCTAGAGACAAGTCTTGTCATCCCCCAAACATGCCCGTGCCCTTTAATCTAGGCGTCCAAGTCATCAACGGCAAAAAGACCTTTATACCACTAGGTAAGCTCATTCCCCTGACCAGACCACCAGTCTCACCTCACCAATCTCACCAGTGCAACAGAGAACAATCCAGAGGTCCACGCGCATCTATGTAAGAACCTTGGAGTATCCCCGAGCCTCACCTTCCATGACGTCCTCTCCACCACCCCAGAAATGCTTTCCTGGATCCCACGGCCCGTGAACGCCCTCATCCTCCTCTGCGACAGACCCATCTACCTCGCCGTACGGTCTCACGTCGAACACAGCATACCCGAGTATCTCGGCAGCGGAGTCGACGAGCCCGTGCTGTGGATGAAGCAGACGATCGGACACGCGTGTGGACTGATGGCTTTGCTACACGTGGTTGTCAATTTGGAGAACGGGAAATATGTTCTGGCCGGATCAGAGCTGGAGAAGATGGTGAAGCGGGCAGTCAGCCTGGGGCCGGCGGAGAGGGCGCGGCTCTTGTACGATTCGCGGTTTCTGGAAGAGGCGCATATGGATGCGGCGTCGGAAGGGTGCTCGATTGTGCCTTTGCCGCAGGAGGAATGTGGCTTTCATTTCATTGCTTTTGTTAAGAAAGATGGAAAGGTTTGGGAATTGAATGGAGGCATGAATGGCCCCCTATTGCGAGGTGAATTGGAGGGGGACTTGTTGGACGAGGAAGGGCTGGATCTGACGGTAAGGGAGTTTTTACATGCTGCCGACACGGAAGTTCATAGGGGGATGAGTATTATTGCAGTGAATAATACTATGTAACTTCTGTCTTTGTGACTTCTGTCTCTGTGTCTATGTCTTTATGTCTTATGCCTTATGTCTTATATCCTATACGACTTATCATGATATTACCATCTATCGATGTGACGTCATTCGTCTAAAATCCGGGGTGGCCTCCAAGGTTTATAAACCTCGGAATCCTACTTATCATTGTTGTACTTATTCTTAGCACCTACAGTTTATCATTTATACTACCCTCGAAAATACTCGAAAACTAACTGCAATGACCACAATCCTCGTCACCGGCGCCACAGGCAAACAGGGAGGCTCTGTCATCAACAACCTCCTAGAGAAAAGTGCCCCTTTCAAGATCCTCGCCGTGACCCGTGATGTCAATTCTGCTTCATCGAAGAAAATCGCCCAAAAATCTTCTAATATCACATTGATCCAAGGCAACCTCGATGACCCGGCTGCCATCTTTGAGGATGTAGCGCTTCAAACCTCGGAGCCAGTCTGGGGCGTGTTCAGCGTCCAAGTAAATCCCCGAAACACAATACCTCAGATATACCCCGACTTACCAATAAAATAGGCCGTCAATCCCGGAAACACCGACGAAAGACGCCAAGGAATGGCTCTCATAGACGAATCCATCAAACAAGGCGTCAAGTACTTCGTGTACAGCTCTGTCGACCGCGGTGGCGAGAAATCAGACGAAAACCCAACCCCAGTCCCGCATTTCATTTTCAAACATGAGATCGAGAAACATCTCAAGGAGAAAGCAAACGGGACCGACATGGAATGGACGATTCTCCGTCCGGTTGCTTTCTTCGATAACCTCACCCCAGATTACTTCGGGAAGGTGTTTGCAACCGCATGGCGGATGTATCTGAAGGACAAGCCGCTGCAGGTGATCGCGACGAGCGACATTGGGTTCTTTGCTGCGGCAGCATTCATGAACCCTGAAGCTTGGAAGAATCATGCCGAGTCGCTTGCTGGCGATGAATTGACGTTTGATCAGATGTCGGAGATTTTCAAGACCTTGACTGGCAATAACGTACCGACCACTTTTGAGATGCCGGTTTGGTTGATGCTGTCTATTGTCAGGGAGATGGGTGCCATGTTCAAATGGTTCCATGATGAGGGCTTTGGTGCGGATATTCCGGCCTTGAAAAAGCTGCATCCTGGTTTGAAAAATTTTGGGGATTGGTTGAAGGAGGATAGCAAATTCGAGACACATTAGTGTTAATTGTTCTTGTTTGGATTGCAGAGGACTAGTTATTATGCGAAAGAGACCTTTCGCCTCCTACCTTCGCTTGAGGTTGGCTCTGTTTGTTCTGGATTATATGACAATGGTAACTGAGAACCGAGTCACCCGGGGTGTTAAATGTTGGAATGGATATTTGCAATGTTTCAATTCTATTCTATACAAAAAAAAATAACAAGCCAAGATGGCAGAAAAGCTCAGATTAAATACCGTTCACCAGATTTGAATGCCGAGTAGCGAGCGAGTGAAGAATCCACCAGGGGTGCCATAGATGGGCTATCATCGGCTAGACTGGAGATGCTTGGCCTGACATACATCAAGCCAGGCAAGCCTTTTAGGCACAATTCGATGCCTCACAAATCGAGCGGAAAGCGTTAAACAACGCTTGATTTTCGAAATAAACAGTGGATTAGGCATCGAGAAGGAGAAGTAAAAGTGAAAGAAAGTGTAGAAGCAAGAATCGTGTTTGAATGTATCGGGGTATAGCGCACGATGCCAAAATCCAAAGAGTTAGGTATTGAAGAATTCAAAGGAAAAATTGGGGCCAGCATGGTCATCGTTCAACCTCAGTTAGACCGATAGAATGGTGACAAATTTCTATATGCAGGGGAATTGTAGCAGTCTCTCTGCTCTCTTTTTTTTTCATCCAAAATATTGCCGTAGTCCTTCATAAACAGTGAAAATAAACGCCGAGCTGGGCGCTGAGCGCGCGCAGGTGATCCCGCACCCGCGGTACATGCCCTTGAGCCCTTGCTGCCTCCATAGAGCCTTGGCCTCGCCCCAGAATGAATGTTTTTGAGCATGGACTGGAAGTCGTGAGACGTCTACAGTCTGCATGCGGGACTTTATTGTATCGGCCGGGTAGAATAGAAAGTTGTAGCTCATTCCAGATGTTGCTCCTGCGATCATTTGTTGGTAGACGGGGAGCGAGTCGGAGGTCATGTGCCGGTTCGACTTGTTATACTTGCGGAAGAGCGACGATACGCCCTCGTATCCACCGAACCACGCTGCGCTTCCGCCGGTTTCCCGGATTAAGGTTCCCAATTGGCCCCGCCAGAATCCTGCCAGCCCTTGGTGTCGGAAGATGCTTGCGATGATAGCCACGGGGCCAGCGGGTTTAAGGCCTGCTGATTCTGCGGGGACCTGCATCCTGCATTTCACCAGTTCAATGGGTGTGAGTACCAGCGAGGTGACTGAGCCAGATAGAGCTCCGCTAGCAATGAGAGCGGGGATTGGTAGGTGCTCAACGCCTGGGTAGACCGTTGCGCGCAGGGTATCCTGGATGAGACGATAACTGAAGAAGAGACAGCTGGTCTCCACCGCAGCTCCGGCCATGGGGGCACTAATGCCTCTATATAGTCCCCGGAAGCCATCGGCTCGGATAGACTGGCGGAAACAATCCAGTGGTCCTGCATATCGGAGAGGAAGGTGTTCGGCTTGTGACTGTAGTCGGACCTTGACGGTGTCGAAGGGGTACTCGATGAGTTTGCCTGCCATTCCTGCCGACTTCGGAGAGTGTCAGTCTATATCGCCCACATTCATGTGCCAAGGACTTCCTTACCGATCCAAATATAATATCCTTTATCGCCTCAAGGCCCTGATTAGGCGGAAGCGATGGCAGCTCCATCGGTTCACTGATGGTGATCGCATGCTCCGTCGCCGCCATCAAGTAAGATCGGGAAAAAAGACAAGGTAAAAGAGTGTTATCGAGGGATCATGGTAAGATGGGGGACCAGAGGTATAAGTAGTGAAGGAAATGGTAGTGGGGGGAGGGGCGGTGTAACGAGGGATTTGATGGGCTTATGAGGTGCCAAGACACCGTGCAGAAGCTAATAAGGAGAAATGAAACGAGGACAGCCCTAAACGAGCAAGAAGATGGACACTGAATAATATAGAACAGCCTGTAAGAGGAAGTCAAACGTGGAAAGTGGACAAAAGGTGGAGTCAGGAAAATTGGGCCGAAGCAATTTCTCTCTTTAGCGGTCGCCAAGACATTTTATCAGATCGAGATAATCAATGAAAAAACTCGGTCTCCGTTTTGTCTCGACGTCTCTTTTGCTTCAAGTTTCTTCCCCCCAATCCACTTTCTTGAAACCTCCACGTGGAACTGGTCTTTTTCCAAGTCACATATTCTATCATGTCTACCTCAACGGCTACGACATCAGTTGCGCCTCCGTCTGCCGGCGTACGGAAAAATGGTAAGTGAAAAGAAAAAAAAAATAATACGCAGTCCCCACTTCCCTGCTCTCCCTCATTTCCCCGGCTAACCCCATCGGACCTTCAGGCAAAAACTGGCATGACACCAAGAAGGCTTTTCGTCCTACTGCGGGTTTGACCTCGTACGCTAAGCGTCAAGAGCTCAAGAAGCACAACGATGCTGTCAAGGAACTTGAACGTGAGATGAAGGAGGAGCATGAGGCTGAACGAAAGGTATGTTGATCTTATTCCTTTTCTTTCTTCATCTGTCTCACTTCCCTTTCCTTTTGTGTCTTTGTCTGGTCTCTATTTCCTGTCAGCCTGTCTCCATAATCATGCGACATCACTTCCCAAGATGGTATCACTGACCGAAGAACCCCTCTAGGCCCGTATCCAGCGCATCAAGGACCGCCGAGAAGCCAAGGAGGAGAAGCTACGTTACGAGAAGATGGCCGAGAAGATGCACCACAAGAGACTCGACCGTCTCAAGCGCAGAGAGAAGCGCAACAAGCTGCTCAGCTCTTAAGGCCATTCACGGTCTTCTCTATATCTCCGCCATACCATCTCTCCATCTCCTCCAGGACTGCATTGTGTGTATATACATCGGCTTGTTGAGGCTTCTTCCTTCTTCCCTGTCCCTGGCGGGAAAGTCTGGGCACTCATTCCGGCGTGGGCTTAAAAGGCGTTTTTTCTGAGGTTAGGTCATAGGTCACTACTAGCGAGCAAGACGAATGTTTTTCTATAATCGCAATATACCCGCTAGCGTAATCGTTGTGTCCAGTAATATAGGTAGTAGTTATACTCTGCAGAGTCGCTGATCTGTCTTCAGCCTTGGCGTCATCGATCTTCCCAACTCCACACTCCAACAACACCAAGCCCCCAAGCTTCCCCAAGCTTTCTTCTCAGAATGTACCACCATGGAGCCTTCATATAAAAAGGCATCATTCTCAAAATCCCGAACAGCCTCCGCCACATTCCCACCCACCCAAACCTCCAACCGGGGCCCGAGCCAGAACCAGCAAGCCAGCGACCTCCAGGCCAAATCAGAGGACTTCTCCAGATTCAGCAGCCAAGGAAGTCGCCAAACAGACCGAAGAAAGTCCCATCGCTCGCACCGCCATGGCTCCGATGACCGCCAAATCTCCCCAAAAGGAGAGCATCGAACTGGCTCATCCCCTCAGCAACAAGAGCCATCCACCTTCGATGGCTTAAGGTCCAGCCGCAACAAATATCACAAGTCGCGGGAATCGCGCTTCCCTAATCCCATGATCCACCTGGCTTCCTCCGCGAGCGCGAGGGGATTGCTCCATACTTGGTCGGGCGGGAAGGATAAGGATCGCGAGGGCGATGATGGGTTGTTGAGGCCGGTTACGAGGGAGACGACCCGGAGTCGATGGGGATCTGAATCGACTACTGGTATGTCAGATGGTCGGAAGGGGAGTCTGCTGGATGCACCTGGACAACATGAGCAATTAATGCCTTTCCGCCGGCACGAGGTTCTTTCTATGGATGACCTGGAGAAGGTTAAGAAGCGGAGAAAGCTAGGCGAGGAGTATGTTTTTTTTAGCTTCTTTGCGCACATGAAATCGACTAATGGGTTGTTCCAAGGTATCTACGGTCTGCATTGACTTCAATTGGGACGTTAGCGACAGACGTCACCCGTCGGCTAGACTACACCTATTACAATCTGCTTGAGAAAATCACAGCGCTCAACTCGACTATCTCGTCGTTCCAGGAACTCTCCGACTCAGCATCAACATTCCTCAGTGACTTCGAACGTGAAACAGTCGAATTAGATCAGGATATCCGCAAACAGCTCAATGACCTAAAAGGCTTCGAGCCACAGGTCCGCAAGGCTGACGCGTTAGAGCAACGCATGAAAGTAGGCCGACAGCGCGTCGAAGAACTAGGCAAACGACTCGAGACCGTACGACACGAGATCGATAGCTGGGAACAGCGAGAAACAGAATGGCAAACCCGGACCAGCCGTCGACTACGTATCTTCTGGGGCATTGTTACGAGTGCGCTGTTGGTGCTTGTCCTTGCTCTGGTCCTCCAGAACTGGCCACAATTCTGGTCTTCCCACGCTGAGGCGTCACGTTTGACAACGTCAAACCACTCTTTGCCCTCTGTGCCACCTCAGTCCGAGGTTTGGGATCACGTTTTCGGTCTCGGGGGAAGAGGTTCAGAGTCTGATGCAGGGCTTGCTCGATATCCGTCCAACCTTGCAAATCGTCGCGAGAGCCTGGACAAGGCTGGTCCGACTTCGACGATCCGGTCAGGGCATGATGCAGCAGCTGCGGAACGTGATGCTATGAGTGCGCTAGATGAATTATGAAATGTTTTTCGCTCCAGATCCTGGACCTAGGCCAATTCCCCGATCTGTGCTTCCGCAGGTTTCTGGTTTCTGGTTTGTGCTTGAAATATCTTCAATTTGTACTTTTATTTTATGTTTATGTCATGATACCCAGTCCGCAAAGGATTCGTGTTCGTCATTATACCGGGCCCTCGCTCTTCTTCTTCTTCTTGTCTTCAATGAGTTCGATATTAGAAGCGGGGATTTTCTTGCCGTGGACCTCGAGGAGCCAATCATGCAGGTCATCACTGACATCACCCTGGACGGTGATCTCCTCAACGCCCGCAGGCGAGCGGGTCACAGAGGAACCCGTAGCAAATTTCTTGCCCAGGTCCTTTGCGATCTTCTTGTTCTCCAGTCCGAAGACCTCCAGGCCGATCACGACCGTCACGTACTTGCGCTTGTTCCGCTCGACACGTTTGAT